CCGGAATGCCTCTTTAAAGTACCCTATGTTGAATGATTCTTTAGGGAACCAAAAGGGGTTCTTCTATGGCATCACTCCAAAGACCACCTTTTTAAACTTTTAGTTTTAAGTGTGATAATGATTTATGTTGCATGTTTTTGAACGCAGTAGTCTGACATATATTTTGGTGGGATATGTAAACAGATCCATCAAGAAATAACACATATTTAACAAATTTGTGGTTTTTCTCAGTGCAGTCTGTAAGTAATTAGACACTGACATGACTTACACTGTTTTGGCTCTGTACTCAGACACACTGAAATTGAAAAGAAACAATGATTATGAAGTTAAAGTCTAGTCTGTCAGCTTTAATTTGAAGGTATGTTATCCAAAAGTAATCAGACACCTGCCTATTTGGCCAGATGTACGTTTTTGCAGCAGTAGTTCATGCTCAAGAGATCTAACAAAAGGGCTAGAGTTCAAAGAAGCAAAGACGTGTCAGAGATAGCAATGCAGGCTGTCATGAGGCTGAATAAATCACAATAAATCAATCAGAGACATCCAAAATTTAGGTGTGTCAATCCACTGTTTAGTATGTTGAAGAAGACAGAACACACAGGCGTGTGTCTACACACAGCAGTGAATGATCAAAGGATAAATGACGAAGAACTTTTCAACTGTTGATCAACAGATCAAGAACACTCAGCAGGATGTAGGCATATCATTGCTATCAAACAAAGAAAAACATCTGCCTTTTTTTTCAATGTTCATTTTCTACATCATTTAAACACATCATGATGAATGTGCCAATAGAAATGCTTTATTTGCATTAACTTGCAATAAAAAATTAAGTTTTTGTTTTCTCTTGTAAAGTTAGTGTTTTGGTAGTCTCACAAGCCATACTTTCATCTCTATAGTGCTTTTCACAACATAATGTGGCTAAGAGCCGCCTACATTGTGAGGATGAGGCCGTTTGACTGATGTACAAAAGGACTAATCACGGCCTACTGTTTCATTTTTCATCACAGTGTCCAGGGCAGGCAGCTACTGAAGACCTGAATTTAGCTGGAAAAACTAAACTTACGTAAACATGGACTTGAAGATGGTTAATCAGAATGCAACTAAAAAAACCCTGATAGTTATAGCCAGCTTTGCATGCAAAAGATCTCAGATGCTCCGTTTCCATTCGGGAGGCTGAGGCTATTTTGGAGAGACTGCTTTTGTTTTTTTTTTGTGTGTGTGTTTGTTTTTGACCAGTGGTAATATATTTCCATAAAGAAAAGATACACAAGCACGACCTCAGGAGGTTCACAACAAGACACAAAGCACTGGTAAGCCTCAAGAAAGTAAAGGCTGGGTTGCAGTTTGTGAAAAAAGTCTTAGACTTCTAGGACAAAGAGCTCTGGGACAATGTTTCTGGAAAGAGGTGAGTCTGGAGAAAACTAGACCATATCATCTGCCAAACGTGGTGGCAAGGGTGCGTACAGCTGCCAATGAAACTGTCGCTTATCTTTCCTGATAGTATGACTGCCAACAGCAGCTGGATGAATTCTGAAGTGCACCGGAGCATCTTAACTGCATGGATCCAATTCACCAATGGTGCTTCACCGATAGCAGCAAGGCAATTGCCTCAGTGTTACTGCTAAAGCATCTACGGGCTTTTCATGGCCAAAAGGTGGAGGGTTCTTGACTGGCCAAGGCAATTTATCTGAACTGAACTAAACCCCACTAGATATGCATTTCTCTCACTGAAGATAAGACAAAGTTCCTGGCAAAACAAAGAGGCACTCAAAGTAGGTATATTACGGGCATTGTTGCAAATTCAAGAGTCGATGGATGCAACATGTCCTCCCCCGCTTTTAACAATTACGCTATATCATTTTTGTGGGGTAGCAGGATGGCTGTCAAAAAAAGTACACAGCTCATTTTATAATAATATTTCCTGTTAAATCTACACCACAAGGCATCCGCATATGTAGTTCAGATCAAATTTTTGCTCCTGATTACAGGACTTGCAGGGCATCAGCAGAGAAGATAAATTTTTGGGTTACAAACCTCAAGTAGTCACTGACTAAAGAATTTTCTAACACGTTTTGAGCTCAACAGTTTTATTTGCAGTTACGCTGATGCATCCAATTACATCTGATGTCATCAAATTAGTGAGGGGGTGGTCAATGTGTAAAAAGGATAGTAATTTATATCTAGATACACACTATATGCACAAAAGTATTGGGACACCTACACATTACACCTACAGGAGCATTTTTGACATCCCTTTCTAAATCCATACATGGAGTTGGTCCCCCCTTTGCGGCTATAACAGCTTCCACTCTTCTAGATTTCTACAAAATTTTGTAGTGTGTCTGTGGGAATTTTTGCCCATTCATTCAGAAGAACATTTGTGAGGTCAGACACTGATGTTGGATTAGAGGGCCAGGTTCACAATCTCTGTTCTAGTTCATCCCAAAAGTGTTTGATGCGGTTGAGGTCAGGGCTCTGTGCAGGCCAGTCGAGTCCTTCCACACCAAACTCACCCAACTATGCCTTTACAGACCTTGCTTTGTGCACTGGGGCTCAGTCATGCTGGAACAGAAAAGGGCCTTCCACAAATTTGGAAGCATACAATTGTCCAAAATGTTTAGGTATGCTGAAGCATTAGGATTTTCCTTCACTGGAACTAAGGGGTCTAGGCCAACCCCTGGAAAACAACCCCATATCATTATCCCTCCTCCACCAAACTTTACAGTTGGCACAACGCAGTCAGGCAGAAAACGTCCTCCTGGCATTCGCCAAACCCAGACTCGTCCATCAGACTGCCAGGTAGAGAAGAGTGATTTGTCACTCCACAGAATGCGTTTCCACTGCTCCAGAGTGCAGTGGTGGTGTGCTTCACACCACTTCATCTGACACTTGGCATTGTGCTTGGAGATGTAAGGCTTGCATGCAACAGCTTGGCAATGGAATCTCATTAAATGAAGCTTCTGGTCACAGTTTTTGTGCTGATTTTAATGCCAGTGGAGGTTTGGAACTGTGCCTCAGTACTCGGTGACCCTGCTTTGTAACTTTATGTGGTCTGAGTTGATGTGGTACCTTCTACTTTTTAATAATAGCACTCACAGTTGATTGTGCGATATAGGAGGGAAGAAATTTACAGTACCGTGCACTACATTCAGTGAGCTCTTTAGAATGACCCATTTTCTCACAAATGTTTGTAAAGGCAGACTGCATGGCTAGGTGCTTGTTTTTATGCACCTGTGGTAATGGGACTGAATAAAACATCTGAATTCAATGACTAAGAGGTATGTCCCAATACTTCCGTCCATAAAGAGTATGTAAGTACATACATATATATTTGTATGTATGTATGTATATTTCCTCAAAGTTGGCATTCTGCACTTCAACCTCAGTCCTTTTTTATAATTTCAAATCCAATATTTTATCACTCTGTTTTGTACGGAGGCAAAACAACAAAAATTGTATCACTGTCCAAGTACTTATGAACCTACTTCATCATATTTAGCCTCTATCTACTCCCACTATGGCAAGATTAATGATCATGACACCACCTTCTTCAACTCAGCATAGTTTTTAATGCAAGGCCACGAATCCTGTCCATTCTCGTTTGGAGCTCATGCAGGCAAACTGGATGCACTTGACTCTGAAGACATCCCTCAGGGAGAATGTGGGTTTGAATCATTATGCTCTCTGTCTCTAGTTCTGAGTCCAGCCAACTGACGTCAATAGCTTATGATTTACCCATACTTCCCTCACATGGAGTTCTCGAAAACGGCCCCAAAAACCTAGGACCTCTTCGGTCACTTCTGCGGGTTAAGAATTGAGTGCTGTGAAAATAGACGCAAGGCTGTGAGTCGAAATGCATTTTGCTCATTCTACCAGGAACATTCAGTTCCAGCTTGGCTAGAGTCTAACCATGAGCTTGCATAGAGCAAACACTGAAATAAAACGGGAGAGAAGAAAGAAAGGCTCACTGACCAGAAAATAATGTGACACGGTGGATCACAGGGAATTCTCAGAAACGCACTTTGAGAAAATTGTAGCTTATTTGTCCGGTCACAATGAATGTAAAACATGTACTCACATATATGAAATCATGGACGATTATGTGCTCGCAGGCCTTATTTTTCGCAGCTTTATGGCCAGAAACTTTTCCTTCAGTTACATTAGCGGTTTTACATGCAAACAAAGACTGGATGTTTTTGCCGTTTCACAGTGTGTTGTTGCTCCCTGTGTTCTGTGTATAAATAGCTTCTAACAGGATCACAGAGAGAATTTAAGTGCCTCTCGCATTGTATTATTTGCGTCATGCTATCTCTCCAGCCTCTCTGCTCTGCTTCATTCGGCGCAACAAGTAACCTGCTCCATACCACACTCTCCTCAAGGAGGATCAGGCCGTTGTCATGGAAATACCTTATGCTGTTTTCTCTCCTGTTTGGAGGTCCCCAGGGTTTTGACTTACTCAAGTAAAACCTGCTGTTTTATACAGATTATTATGTGTGCTGATGAAAACGAGATGACCTTGTTGTGCAGACTAAACAAAGGCAGCCTTACTTCTCTTTTTTTTTGTATTTTTTTATTTTATTTATTTATTTATTTATTTATCTTGCTGAGTATGGTTTATTGGAGCCATTTGCTGTTGGTCTGTGGGCTGTCATGTTTGGACTGTGCTCATGATCCTGTGGGTGTAATGCATGAGATGCCTACGGCTGAATGCCGTGTCTGCTGTTTGTGACTTAACTGCTGTCTCATTTTTAATGAAAACTCCCATACTGTGAACTCTGAGTGAACTCATAGCGCTTGACAGAATTATCATAAACAACAATCAGAATTGAGAGACGTTTACCTGGTGAGCATTAATATCTGCCTACTTCAACATCAAAACACATTAATGTTTTAAACCATCGATAAATTACATGCAGGAGACGTTCTAAACCCATGTGTTGGCTAAATGTTGTGGACATCTAGTGCCCCCACCTGTCAGAACTGAGCCATTGAGGTCTTGCTTGTAAGGCAATGAAAGTAAGGGTGCTTTTATTGGATTTGAAGATTGGTACAGTTCAAGGGGAGACAGTATTGAAGCTACATAGGTAGTGAGGAAATGTAGGGGCTTTAGTTGGCTGCCACTATCCCATCCACCCAGGCGCGAAGCTCAGTGACACGGGCGTACACAGCAGGGACGGTGGTGGAACAAGTACTGCTGCCCCAGGACACAATGCCCACCAGTGTCCACACGTTACCCTTCTGGCACACCAGTGGACCACCAGAGTCACCCTGCAAAAAGAGAACAGGAAATAGAATGTGCGAGTATGAGTGAGGATCTGAATCAGTGTCTGAATTGGTTTTATTGGCCAAGTAATGTGATTTATAAAGTGTTTGGACAAACTCTGAATTGGTAGTTTAACATGTAAACTCACTGGTGGTTTTATCAAGTACACCTACCAAAGGTATTACACAAAAAAAGAGTTCTTTGCACAATATTAAAGAAAAAACACTTTTGGGGCCATAAAGAACCTTTCAGTGGATGATTCTTTAAATAACTATCTTTAGATGAACTTAAAGATGTGTGTAAATAAGATGTGTGATTGTGAAGAACCTCCTCATAACGTAAAGGTTATTTGAAGTAATAATTTATTTATTTAATCTATTTCCCAGATGTAGTCGATCAGCCAAGACAGGATTGATCTCCTATCTCCAAGAACCGCAGCCTGGCAGAAGGAAGTGCAGAGAACTTTTTATCTATCACAAAGGTGAAAACTCACATCCCACCAGCTAACAGAAGGAAAAAATCCTAACGAATATGTTTGCAGCCACAGACATAGCCAAGGCTTTGTATAAGCCACAAAAGTATCTTAAACTCAGCCTGAGCAGTTCATCAGACTGCCAATTGGCTAACAGATGAATCCAGTAATATTCAGTTGGGTTCGATTTTAAGTTGGAATATTTACTGCATGCTTCTCTGTATATCTACAGTAAATAAAGTAAAAAAGATTACCTGAATGTCTGTTATAAGCTTTGTTTGTCTGAAGTCATATTTGTAAAAAATTTATTTTTTTTGATGATAATATAATAACCTGCAATAACAGGTAAGGTAATTAACTTTTTTTTTTTTTAAATTGCAACAAGCCTAGGGTAAAGTAACTGATACAACTATTTGTATATTTGGAAAAAGGATGCATGTGGAACTTATGTGCTGTATTGTTCTGCAGGGCAAACGCTGTATTATGTATAAATTACTAATGTGTGCAAGCTGCAGCATCGCATTTCATGCAGAGGTAGTATGTGTGATATATTGGAAGAGCTGGATATTTGTGGACACTGTGTATGCATACAAGGTCTAAATTATATTGAATATAGGGCTGCATAGATCTGTGTTTGTGCATCCCTGCATTCTAGCAGTAACAGTTTTAATGGACGTGCGTAATGTATGCAGTCTGATATTGAGCAGAGATATAGTTTGGGGGAAAAGACTGTCTTTCTGTCTTTCGGTTTTTGTTTTGATTGTTTGGTATAACCCGTGAAGGAAGATTGAAAAATAAGTGAGCAGGATGCATGGGGTCAGTAACAATGGTGTCTGCTTTCCTTTTGATTCTGGGTGAAGAGTGGGTATGTGGATTGAACAATAAAGAGAGAGAGAGAGAGAACGAGAAAGAGAAAGGTAAAAGGCGAAGTCGGTTGCGGGTTTCTCACCATGCAAGAAGAAGCACCAGCAGCGCCAGCACAGATCATGATATCGGTGATGTTGCTTCCCCAGTAGTTCTTGCAATCCTCATTAGACAGCAAAGGCAGTGCGACCTGCTGCAACTTATCAGGTGTGAACAGAGCTGGAAAACAAGACAGAGACAGTAAAAGAAATGTTCCTTTCCCATACGGTGCCCAACACTGTAGAACAGCAGCGGTTCAGCATAAAAAATAAAATGTACGTATTACCCTTACTCTAAAAGTAATGTTTCAGCCAGGACATGTTTGACGTCTGAAGCTTCCTTTGTAGCTTTTGTCCTGAAGTTATGAGGCTAATATAGCTAGCATATAATGGAAGCTTATGATCACCGTATAGCACTGTGCAAACTGCATGCCTAATCATCCCACACATGACAAAGCATGCTGAGGTATGTAATCTTATTTTTTTTTTAAGTGTTTAACATACTACTGTATAATATATTACTGTTTTAGCTATGCAGCATCTTTTGTCCATTTTTATAGATAACTATATATCATACAGTGTTGAAAACCACGTAAGTAAGTCACATATTGAGATTACTTAAAGCAACACTATGTCAGATTAGGGTATTTGGAGACCTCCCCATTTGGAAATGTGTAATGTGCAATGAAAGCATGGGGGGAGAAGGGGGGCAAGGGGGTCCATGGCCACCTAGATACAATCGCTGGCCTTCCCAGTGGCCCCCCTGGGCCCTGGCATGTGCATAATATGCTTCTGTCTGTCAATAAATATTCTGAATTGGATTATATAATCAAATTATTTAAAAAAACAGACATTCAACAAAAAAACAGCTATTACTACAGCTGCCTGCTTTGTGAGTTCTCACATGGGCCTGGGCCACTGCACTGAACACGCTGCATGACGGACATGAGTCACACAATGTCACTTTCATGATTTAAAATGAAACGCAGGTCCAGCTGAAATGAGCAAATAATTGCTTGAGTATGTCCAATAAAGCTGCATAGATCTGTATCTGTGTATCCCTGTATTCTAGCAAATAACTGCTTGAGTATGTCCAATCGAGTCGCATGAATCTGTGTTTGTGTATCTCTGTATTCTAACAAATAATTGCTTGAGTATGTTCAATAGAGCTACATAGGTCTGTGTTTCTGTATCCTTGTATTCTAGCATGTAATTGCTTGAGTTTGTTCAATAGCGCCGCATGAATCTGTCTTTGTGTATCCCTGTATTCTAGCAGTAGCCATATTATTGAAAGTGCGTAATGTATGCAGTCTGATATTCAGCAGAGATATAGCAAATCATTCAACAACAACAGCTGTGTGGTAATGATGACAGAGGGTTTACAACCCAACTCGGCTGAAGGGAGAGTGATTTGCATTTTGAGGACTCCAAAAAGCCCCGTTTGGAAATACTTCGGAGCAGTGCTTAAAGGTCAGTAGATCGCAACATTGTGGAACCTCGAGATAAAGTTGTATGCATGCTATGTAAGCTACAATTAGACTACACCCACATTACCAGGTTGAAGTGGCACAAATCAGATTTTTTGCCCTAATGTGACTCTGATCTGATGTTTTCATGCAAACGTACACGCAAATCTGATCTTTTCAAATCCGACCTGAGCCACTTTGGCTACGTTCACATTACAATCCTCATTGCTCAAATCCGATTTTTTTGCTCAAATCTGATCTCTCTGAAAGGATGGTTTACACTCGTTTAGGTAAGTTATTCAAATCTGTCATTAATATAAACAAACCAGCGTCCTGAAATGACCCGCATGCACACATCCTACTCAGTAATGTCACATGAATGAATCACGTGCGTCACATGCATCATCAGCAAACCATCTAACAAGCAGAACGAGCAGAATGAGCCTCGCTGTGAAGGTAATTAACTCTACAGCTCTCAGCTGTTCATTATTAGAGCAAGATAAAGGTGAAAAGGTGAGATGTGTTGCTTTTCCACCATTTACAGGCTTTAACTTCTGTTCGGCGCTGCTGCCATGGTAACGCTGAATGATGGCGCACGTGCAATGGGAAAAAAACGCATGAATTCCCATCTGAGCATTCACATTAAGGTCGCATTGCTGTGAATTGGATACGTATCCGATCTAGGACCACTTATGAAAATGGCTCAGGTCGGATTTGAAAAGATCAGATTTGTGTGTCCACACAGCCCTGAAAACATCAGATCTGAGTCACATTAGGGCAAAAAATCAGATTTGAACCGCTTTAACCTGGTAATGTTAACGTAGCCTGAGGCTACCATTCCAGCACTAGCAACCTAAAGGCATGTCTCGAAAATATGCACCCAAATGCGTCCAATTCGGTTCCTCTTCAAATTCACGTGACCTCATAAATTATGATCGTGAATGTGCGCATTCATACAGCACTGAAAAAATGGAAAACAAAATTGGTGAAAAGTTCTTACGCCTCAATTTAAGAATCCAGCTGCCACAGTTAAAGCAGAGATTTACACTTTTCTCAGACCTTTTTCACTTTCCGTAGTTGCAGTGTTGTTGGGTGCTGATTGCCTCTCAGTAAATGCATGCCCCTGGGGACTTTTTATGGGGCTTGTGAAGGGGAACGTGAATTTGAGGTGAAACTGAATCTGATGGTTATGGTGTGCCCCCCAAAGATTTTCAGTGTATGTTTATAGAACATTTTGTAATGTCAGTTGTGCTTCAAACCCCCACTGAAAGAGCATTCAATTAGAACTCAGTAAAAACTTGGTGAAAGACGTGTCTTCTGAGGATGTGGGTGAATTACCTACTTTTGTCCTCATATCTTCATTGGTATAATTTTGGACTGCATTTGAAATCTAAACACTGAACCAGACCTTCTTTTTGAGGCTGTGCATGTGACGTTAATACGTAAAGACGTATAACATGGTTTGAAAAACTCCTGCAAAATTTGAGCCAATACCTCTGACTTTTATTATTACTAATACTATTTCAGGCTTTTACAGGGTGACTTTACCATTTACCATTTTTTCTCCATAATGCTACTTCATAATGCTACTTCAATTTTAATAAAAAAATCTTACATAGTGCAGCTTTAACAGCTTGATGTGGCTTGTGGCAAGCGTGTGATAACTGAGAAATGCATTTTACACAATATTAATTTGTGAGGTATAAGCTTTCATTACTTCTTAGCTACATTAGCCCTGTAGCTCCAGTGCTTAATCAACTCCATACATTTGGAGTAAAGGGAAAATTACATAAATATGATTTTTCACTGAATTGCTGCTTTAACCCTTAAATGCACGAGTGTTTTCTCCAACTAATTGTATGCCTTATGTTTTAAAATTTTGTCATCTACTTGAATACATTGATGAGGTGGAGGGCGAGGGGAGTCACAGGTTGTCACCAAGGCATGCATTTAAGGTTTAAAACCTCAAACTATTGAAATTCAACTAGAAGAACAAAACTGCACTTCAAATAAGGGCTCAAGGATCTGTGCATTTTTAAAAAAAAAACACCAGAAGGTGATGTCAGAAGTATCTTGGTAAATCATTGCTTAAAAACAATTACTAGCATTAGATATTCAGATATGAATATTCAGATATGACTGATATTTTAAGCCCTTATTCGATGATGTGCTTTCTGTGCTCTGGAAATGCAGAACACTTAGAATATACTCACATTTTATTTATTTTACTGTATTTGTGACCTTACAGAAAAGTTTTTTCATAATGCTAATGCAGGCAGAGCTAGTCCGAATTTATGAATAATCTATTTGTCTGCATTGTCATTCCTATATACATGAAAAATATCAGATATCAGCATTCTCCCACAATTCAAAAATTTCGGTGCATTCCTGATGTAATGTCTTGTATCTCACCAGTATAACGTGTCACGCCCCAGCCAGTGGTCACACATTTCAGGCCGGCAGCAAACACATCATTGGTTTCAGCCAAACAAACGGGGGAAACATTGGACTCAATGGAGGCAGGGGAAGCCAGCTTAATCAGGGCAATGTCATTGTTGATGGTTTTGGAGTTCCATTCGGGATGGGTGAACACCTGGGAGGGGGATTTAATCAAATTAATTTTTTGGAATTTGTCTCTCGTCTTCATATACATAAACTATATAGTACAATGTGTGTTATATTACAGTTTTCTTCTTTTATTTTTAAAATGATTCAAGAATTACTTCTTTAAGCGAATGAACATTGTTTTCCAGCATCGCCTGCTCCTTTTTGAACTGTAGATTCGTGAAGGTCTTACCTTGCTCACTTTCAGAGTCTGGATGTTCTCTCCACTCTTGGCTTTATTATGCTCTCCGAGGATCACACGATGGCTAGTTCTGCAATGTTACCATATGGTTAAAGTTAACCATGCATGGATTGTGATGCATTGTTCTCAGCCCATTGTTTTCCGTATAATAAATATGTATGGAATGTACCTGACATCGCAGTGAGCTGCAGTCACGACCCAGTTTTCATTGATCAGGGAGCCACCGCAGAAGTGCCAGCCAAATATGTCCTGTAAATAACATAAAAAATGAACCATTAGTTGGGAGAAATTGCTAGAAGTATTTGAATCTGTGCACAGAAATGACATCCCGTCTAGAAAAACCAGCATAGATCAGCATGCTAGCATCACCCCCAAAACCAGCATATGTTGTGTTTTGGCCAGCACCACACCAGCACTAAACCAGCATAAACCAGCTAAGACCAGTATGGAATCCATGCTGGTCTGTGCTGTTTTTTCAGCAGGGACTGTGTTAGCTATGCTGTGTGATAACCGCAGCTAAAGGCGAGTAGTATCATTTTTGCTTACTTGAGTAATTGTTTAAGTGCAGTAATTAACCCAATGATTAGTTTAGTTTATTCCACAAAATATGCAGTTATGAACATTTGACTCGGCTTGCACAATGCTAACATTACAATGAGTTTGAGTGCAAAAGTGAGTTATGATGGCATCAGAATTAAATCAGTGTTAGCGTATTGGCAGGTCAAAGCTTAATAACAATCATTAGCATCAGACAGATGCTTAGACATGCTTGATATCTCAGGCCCTTATTTGATGACATGTTTGTTGTGCTAAAGCTGCGTACCTGTAGAGAGACCTGCCACGGCCATGAGTGGGGCACTGCCTCCTCACCGTTAACAATACGAGCATAGCCTGTCACCACGGGGGGGATGTCAGGGACGCCGCAGCCTAGATAGATAGATAGATAGATAGATAGATAGATAGATAGATAGATAGATTTGTATGATTTTAGCACTGTAGCGCTCACTGCTTTTGAAAAAGACTTGGCTTTTGCACAATTCATGCTGCTTTATTATCCAGCTGTAGTCAGCCACAGCTATGCCATATATAGCTTACATCTTACTATCTTAGCTCTCACCCAGATAGAATTTCTTTGCTCTAAAAATGTTCTGAGAATACTATGCACATGTTCTATTAATGTTTTCAGCGGGAAGGTTTTTTTTGGTTCCCAGAATGTTCTTCTTAAAACAATGTAAAGACCATTTATCAGTGTATTCATTAAACAACACATGAGAAGCATAGGCTTGTGATCTTTTTTTAGTTTATTAATTTGTATAATTTACAGTGATTCCTCATTGGCATCTGCAACGGATAGCCAGTGGCACCCGCTGCTCAGGTGTGGCACTAACCAAACGCCAGTGGCACCTGCCACTCAGGAGTGGCACTAACCAAATGACAAACGCCCCTCAGGAGTGGCACTAGCCCTCGGTGTCTGCCACTCAGGAGTGGCACTAACCAAACGGCAACCGCTGCTCAGGAGTGGCACTAACCAAACAGCAACCGCCACTCAGGAGTGGCACTAACCAAACAGCAACCGCCACTCAGGAGTGGCACTAACCAAATGCCAGTGGGATATTGCCAGTTTTTTAGCCATTTTCTATGTAAAAGAGTAATAATAACAAGAAAACTGCAACATCATTGTATAACAAGTCAATCAGCAAGTGCTAACAGGTTTTACTCACTTTCAGTTTACATCTTCATGCTACTTCATTCATTCTTTTCTGTGAAACACTTGATGAAAATGAACTAATCCAGCCTTCCAGTGGCATTCTTCATTAGAAAGCAACCACTTTTTTTTCAGAGAAAAATCACTCACCGTACGCTGCACTGACCAAGGCAAGGCAAGATACCAACCACAGGAAAGCCATTTCTGTGAATCTGACAACACTGTGCGCAGCAGTAGCCTTATTTAACCCCTCTTCCTGACCTCAGTCTTACCAATGAGCTGCTCAAAACCCAACACGTCAAAATTTCCATTCCAGCACGGGCTGTTTGTCACCTGTAGCTAGTCTGCCAGTTCTCACCTTTTTACTCGAGCGATGTCCTTTTTACGTCTGCTATCACACACTGACCTTCACAGAAAGTACAGTGAGTAATACATTATTAAAAATATAGAAAATTTGTGAAATGTGCAGTACGGTTTTTCAATCATTATTTTATTGAGGATGGTGATCAAAAATAAATTTAATCGATTCAGCAACCTGTTAGTCATGCCAAATGGACAGGCTAATTTGAAATGTTCATGTTAATAAATCACTATTTTTATCCCCCGTAGTTTCTTTTACACCTTGCTCATACCCAAAGACTGAATTTTCCCCTCATTTTGACAATAATAACCCCATAACATTAAACTTGTGACCATGGCCGTACGCAGGGTTTTAGAAATACAAAGGTCCAAAACCCGTGCTTGGTTCAGGGGCATGTGAGATGCCGTGGACATGTTATGCTTGACGTAAGGACACAGGAATGTATGTATACATGTATACATACATATCACTGCTGTAGGGAGAAAACATTGTATCTCCATTTTTGATGTTTTTGAGTTTTTGACATAATTCAAAAATACCTGTTGCTCTTTACATTGTTTGTAAATTTCATGAAGAATGGACCAAAAGGAAAAATGTCTGGTTCCATTGACTTACATTAAAAGTAAAGCAGGTTTTTTCCTTCTCCTCTAAAGTTATCATTTTGGAGATACGAGGTTTTCTTCCGACAACAGCAATACACATACACACACACACACACACACACACACACACATACACATATATATATATATATATTATATATATATATATATATATATATATATATATATATTCAAATATATATATATATGCAGCCATATATTGATCTCTCTCTCTCTCTCTCTCTCTCTCTCTATATATATATATATATATATATATATGTGTGTGTGTATACATACACAGAGTGATATACATATATATATATATATATATAGAGAGAGAGAGAGAGAGAGAGAGAGAGAGGGAGAGAGAGAAAGAGAGAGAGATCAATGTGCAGATATAGATATTCATCAAAAAACAGATATAGAGTCATGTTACGTTTTTGTTGTTAATGAAAATACGTTTCACATCCTCTACAGAGAACACACTTCTGCACATTATTGCAATTACTGTTTATGTACTGAATTTAACACATTGGAAAAAATACTTAATAATATTTAGACTGTGCAGAGGTTATGCCATTCTTTAATATTGTATGTATGTTTTTTTTTCAAATGAACAGTGGTTGTGTAATTACGGAAACTTTACCTTTTCCTATACTTTCTGTACGTTTTTCATTTGACCATATCACCAAAACAATTTTTCCAGAGTATTGATTTTGGCTTTAATTCAAGGCAAAGAACGCGTGGAACATTTTTTATCAACAGGTGCTATTACTGCATTCTGATTCTGATAAAGCTGGTCCCTCCCCATGATTCAAAACCCATATGAACTCTAACATGTACAATGATGTAGAATTAAAGTTCTTACCACACCAGCCAGCGAAGTGTATTTCACAATTAAAGCATGACAGTGAAGATCATATGTCTGTATTTTATTACACATAAACGGATCATTTTCAAAGAATACAAATTAATGGCAACACCACATGAAATACTCACTGGCCATTTTATTAGGAGCATCTACTACGTAGCCCATCCGTTGCTGCACAGTTTATCAAGCCCCCTCTACCAAGTACCAATGGACCACCATGGGACAAGCTTGGACCAGATATTATTATATTACCAGATAGAATTGGCTACATGGTATTGGCTGAACATATTTCATGTAGCATTTCTATTATATACTACACTCCCTCTATAATTGAAGATTTGATACATAAATTAAAATTTTGAGATTTTTCAAGAATTGGAGAAATGACTCATGCATGAATATGGTTTGAAGATATTCAGAACTTCAGATTCTGCTTTATTTTGATACAGCAATAGATGACTTAGCCTAAAATTTTAAAGCACAGTGACAGAAAAGTTCTTCTCAGGTCAAACTAAATGATTTGTTAGGGTGGGCCAATACTAAGCAGAAAATAATCTGCCACTTATAGCAGTTCAGGCTTTAAGCAGCTACCACAGTGATATTTTAATCTACATTTGAATCTAAATGTTTCACAGTATCACCCACAGATGTAAAAATAAAAAAGGACATTTTGAATTGTCCTGACATACTTATGCTAAAAAAATAAGTATCGAATGATACAATTTGATGTTGTTACTTTAAGACCTGCTAAAATGCCAAACACTCTACTGTTCCACAGGAAAAAATACACAGCCAACATGACGTACAAAACACAGAACTTTTTATTATTGTTGTTATGCAGTTGAAAAGTCAAGAGTTCTTCAAAATTGGAGACTAATTTTAATCCAACATCAGCTCCAGAATTTTCTGCTGATATTGACCCAGTGCTGATACCGGGTATTGGATTGGTGCTATCTCTAATATTATCATGTTTATGTTAATCAGCAGGTGATGAGCAAAATACTAAAAAAGAAAGGATAAAAGAAACAAACAAAAGCAAAATTGGAAATAAAAGCATCTACTGAGCATCATCACACATCAGTGTGAATATAAAGATTTTTTTTTCTCCTGGCTTTATCTTGAATTTCAGCAAAGTGAAATGAAATGTCAATATTTAAAATTCCTTCACGAATGCCCTGCCCTAGTGTTAAACTTTAGTCAGCTTATTGTACCTCAGTCTCATGAGATTAAAAGTTCAGAACCGCATTGACAATGAGAAGTTTTTTCCGCTATAGGAAAAATATTTAAGCTATCTTGCTCAATGGCTCAGCGTGAGAGCTTTAAATAGTGAAACTGAATGTGTGAAAGGTACACAACTTGTTTTTATACAATGTCAGGACTCATCTATGAGTCTCATATTTATCATATTGTACATAACTACCTCTAGTAAGCTTAACCCTCGTCCTAACCCTTAGCCTAACCATATACTCAGTAAACAAAAAGAAATACCCTGTTTAACTTTTATTTCTCTACCATAGTCAACACATTTTGTTCTGCAAGTGTATGAAAACTAACACACACACACATACACATACACACACACACACACACACACACACACATATACATGCAGGTGCCCGCTGTGAGATATGCAAATGAAATGATAGGACATGAGTATAAGAGGGTCAGACTTTCGTGATTTACTCAAGCTGGAATCATGACTGTCCTTTGGGTGCTGTCCTGCCTGGCCTTCATTAGCACAGCCTACAGTAAGACTTCTGTTTCCTTTGTGCTTTAATATAAGCTGGAAAAACATAAATCAAAGACGAGATACTCATGCCTGGAAGTCTTTTTCTGGCACAAATTATGTGAAAAAATATATATTTTTTTTTCTCAGGCTGCGGGGTTCCTTCCGTCACTCCAGTCATCAGTGGCTACTCAAGGATAGTGAATGGTGAGGAGGCAGTACCTCATTCCTGGCCCTGGCAGGTGTCGCTGCAGGTACAGTTATGATCTTTTTCTTTTAACCATTTAACATTTAACAACATCTTTAATTTACACTATATGGCCAAAAGTATGTGGCAACACATTGTTGAGTTCAGGTGCTTCAGCCACATCTTCAGCCAAATATCCACAGAAAAACATAGCACTAGAATTTAAGAGATCAGTGACTTTAAATGTGGCACTGTTAGAGGATGCCACCTTTGCCACAAGTCAGTATGTGAAATTTCTGCCATGCTAGATCTTCCCTAGACAACTGTAAGTGCTGTTACTGAGAAATGGAAGTGTCTAGGAGAAATAACAGCTCAGCCATGAGGCAGTAGACCACACAAACCCACAGAGCGAGTGTTGATGCTGTTGCAGCTGTTGCATCACTCACTGCAAAGTTCTAAATTGCATCTGGAAGCAACATCAGCATAAGAACTGTGTGTCAGAAACTTCATGAAATGGGTTTCAATGGCACTATGCGTGATGCCAAGCATCAATTGGAGTGGTGTAAAGTATGCCACAACTGGGCTCTGGAGCAGTGGAAATATGTTGTTTGAAGTATATATTAATGACCATGGTTTTAAAATGAGATGTCCAACAAGCTCATATAGGTGAGATGGTCAAGCATCCACATACTTTTGGCCATATAGCATATATTGCTGCTGTTTAAACAAAACCTCGTATGTCCAAAAAATTACGTTAGAGGAGAAGGACAAACATCTTTAACTTTCAATCTAATTTAATGTAAAAAGATTTTATTCTATGTCGTTTTGCAACACATGCATTGTTCCATTTATCATAAAAGGTTTGACACACTGTAAAGCTAGTATTTTAATATCTAAGTGAAAATAAGTTAACACATCTTACACAGAGAACACACAAACATGGCTTTTCTGCTAATTGTATTGTACAATTTGTATTTATTTGCTAAATGTAACATTATAAAAAAACAAAGTATAAATGTGCCATAACTTTTGCACAGGCCACATTTTATGTGTTTTTTTTTTCCCTCCAACGTGTTAAATTTAGCAATTTAACAAAATTGTGCATTAAAATGTGCAGAGTTCTCTGTAGAAGATGTGTTAAATTATTTTTGCTCAGAAAACAAAATATGTAATTTGACCAGTGGCGCCCAAACTTTTGCATACGACTGTATATATTTTTTAAATAGTAGATGATTTCAGTCAAGACTAGAGACTAAACTCGGCAAGACTGATGGTGAAGTCATGTCCAAGACAATAGGAAAAAATGTCTCTAGAAAAGACTCAAGCACTACAGCACCAGTTTGAAGCAAATACTATTTAAAGCTCAAGTCTAGGCTACTATAAAAACATTATATACTTCTTTATTTGACATTGCCTGCATTACCTGTTTGTTTATGACTGGACTTTATTGTCCCAAATTTTACACATGCAGCACTGCCATCCAAAACATGTTTTACATGCTACAGAGGCTTGGAATCTTTTGAACACCAGGGGCCTCTAGTGGGCACAAAATTCTCAGCACAATCAGCTGGAAAGATTCAACGCTTCATTAAGCCTTGTTGTGCCATCACTAGCGTATACTATAGTTCATGGGTGCCCAATCCTGGGATCTCCCACCCTGAGAGCTCAGATCCAACACAAGGCCTAGACCAGGTGTGTTAGATTAGGGCTGGAGCTAAACTCTGCAGGGTGGTAGATCTCCAGGACCAGGTTTGAGTACCCCTGCTATAGTCTATACTCTAAATTCATACTGTGCTATCTTGGAGAATCTGCCAGTAGAAATGCATTTCTTTCAATATTACATCAAACTGACTCTTTAATTTGCACACAATGTTAAAATATATTTAGAACACGTAATCACTGGTATAAAGAGGTATTAGCTAATGATAGTGTCTAACTGTTCTTGTTACAATAACATTCTTCATTCATCTGAACTTCAGCACAACACCGGTCTCCACTTCTGTGGTGGCTCCCTGATCAACGAGTGGTGGGTTGTGACTGCTGCCCACTGCAGTGTCAGGTAAGCTTAGATTCCAGTGAGATCTGTAAATCTCAAAATGAATCAAGGAATAGATTTAACCTTTCTTTTCAAAGAATGTTAAAAGCTCCTACAACTTCAACACTACATAGAAGCATGATATTTTATTGAACTTTGTCTGTACCAGCTGAAACTGAAACCCTTCTGGAATTTAGGTTGTCCACCCTTGTGGTCCTTGGAGAGCATGATCGTTCCTCTGATACTGAGGCCATCCAGATTATGAGTGTGGGCAAGGTGCGCACATCAGCAACAGTTTATAACAGATATCGTCTACATGCTTTCCTGCATGCTTTCACTTAATGCAAGCTTTTAAACTAAAACAATAACATATTCACTTCATTTCTATACTTTTTTTAAACATGCCTTCGCCAACTCACCACTCAGAAGTGCCTCATATACATCTTACACAAGTAGTCGCCTAGAGGAGTGGATAGTGAGGAGCGGATTTTTTTGTTGAAACATTCACTTTCAGTGAGCGTGAGTGAGCTAATTATCTAGCTGTGCACACTTGGAGAAATTTGAGCATAATACATTTTATGAATATTTTCATTGCCTGGCAATAAGCTTTGGTTCAAAATCGTGGTGTATTGCATTTTTTTTTTGTAGCTGTGTAGCCTTTAGCTTGCTAGTTAGCAATAAAGTTACATTAACATACATGTAAAACAGATGGAGTAATTTGCTCCAAATCCTAGTTTGAACATAGCAAATCAAATGCGATCGTTTTTCAGAAACAGAATCACTTTGTTCAGCCAATATATTTGTTGCGGTCAGCACACACCTGTATAACATGTAACATACTAAAGGAGCCCAGACAAGTACATGTTATTTGTTATATTATTTATAAGAAAATTACAGAATGAAATTAACATTTTTGCAGTTTTGCTAAATGCATTATGTTGCAGAATGGAATGGACTACAGTGAGGGGACTTTACAAAGTTCCATTTAAAGTACATTCTGTCTGCTGCGGTTAATGAGCTCCACAGCTCTGGGGAAGAAGCTGTTAGAATGTCTGCTTGTGCTGGTTTTGATGGCTCTGAATCTTACCAGAGGGAAGTGGCTGGAAGAAGTGATGTCCAGGGTGAAACTGGTCAGCTATAGTCTTGCCAGCATACTTCATGACCCTGCTGTTGTAGATGTCCTGAAGCGCTGACAGATTACATCCAATGAGCGTCTCTGCTGTCCTGATACATTTTTGTGAGCTGAAGGAGCCAAACCAGATGGCCACGGTTGAACGAATGATTGCTGTGTAGTACTGGATCATCAGGGCCTGTGGCAGATTGAATTTCTTCAGCTGCCTCAGGCGGAACATTCTCTGCTGCTGGCTGTGGGGACTGTTTCCCTCTCCTGCTTCTGTTCCCTGGATATGCTGGCGCTCATGAACTTGAGTGACTCCACAGTGGAAACCACAGGGCCGTTATTGAGGGGGTGTGGGGGTGGGCTGTCGTGAAGTCCACCACCATCTCTACAATCTTTTGTATATACAGCGACAGGTTGTTGAGGCTACACCAGGACACCAGCTGCTCAATATGCTTTCTGTAGGTTGGTTATGAGGTCGACCAAGATGGTGTCTTCAGGACACTTCACAGATGGTTCTGTTATGAAATATTAAGTATTTTAGAGTATTTTGTTGCTAATGCTTGTCCCTCCAAGGGCTCAACTAACAATTGAATGACCCCTAGGATGGTGACAGAGATGCCCCGAGGGGAAATAGTGAGGTCAAGTTGATGAGGGCATGTTAAAATAAGTATTGGAATGAGCAGGTTGTCTCTGCTATACCTCATATCTGACCTAAGCATTGTGTCCTGCTTTAGATCTTCATGCACCCCCGGTACGACAGCTTCACCATCAATAATGACATCCTTCTGATCAAGCTCGCCTCTCCTGCCCAGCTGAACCCCCACGTGTCCCCTGTGTGTTTAGCTGAGACCAGTGACAACTTTCCTGGTGGTATGAAATGTGTGACCTCTGGATGGGGCCGGACCAAACATGATGGTGAGTTTTTTAGGTCAATTTTTACATGTTTCTAAAAAATTCTGTTTTTTTTTACAACATTTACAAAAAAGTTGGGACGCTGTGCAAAATGTAACTAAAAACAAAATGCAATTATATGCAAATTATTTAAAGCCTATATTTAATTGAAAATTGTACAAGGACAATATATCAAATATTGAAACTGAGATATTTAATTATTATTTTTTTTAAATATTTGCCCATTTTCAATTTGATGCCAATATCACGTTCCAAAAAAGTTGGGACGGGGGCAGCAAAAGGCTGGTAAAGTTGTGTAATAATGCAGAAAAAACACCTTTTTGTTGATTGCCATAAGGTCAGTAACATGACTGGGTTTAAAAAGAACTTCCCAGAGAGGCTGAGTTGTTTAAAAGTAAAGATGAGGAGAGGTTCACCACTCTGTGAAAGACTGTGCGAGCCAATAGTACAACAACGGTACATCTACATCTTCATCATCTATGGTACATAATAACATTAAAAGATTCAGAGAAGCTGGAGAAATCTCTGTATGCAAGGCACAAGGTCAAAAATCAGTATTTGCTGGCAGTGATCTTTGGGCCCTTAGATGGCACTTCATTAAAAACAGACATGATTCTGTAGTGGAAATCACTGCATGGGCTCAGGAACATCCATCCAAACGATGTCTTTTTCAGGGAAGGCCTTGCTTATTTCAGCAAAATAATGCCAAACCACATTCTGCATGTATTACAACAGCATTGCTCTGTATTAAAAGAATCCAGGCGCTAAACTGGCCTGCCTGCAGTCCAGACCCATCACTCACTGATGACATTTGCCGAATTATGAAATGAAAAATATGACAAAGGAGACCCCGATCTGATGAGCAGCTGTAATCCTATATCAAACAAGAATGGGAAAACATTTCATTTTTAAAACTACAGCAGTTGGTCAGTTCCCAAACACTTACAGAGTGCTGTTAAAAGAAGAGGTGATGAAACACAGTGGTAAGCATGCCACTGTCCCAACTTTTTTGGAACGTGTTGTTGGCATCAAATTCAAAATGGGCTTATATTTTTCAAAAAACAATCAAATTTGATATGTTGTCTTTGTAGTATTTTTGGAAATGGGGTTGTAGTTTTTTCTGAATTTACTCATCAACATCATCAACTTGTAATAATTATTGTTACAGTATCCGAAAGCCCCCGCTCTGCTCCAGCAGGCCATTTTTCCCCTGCTGACCAGTGATGACTGCAGGCGTTACTGGGGCTCTAAGATAACAGAAGAGATGATCTGTGCTGGAGCCTCTGGAGCCTCCACCTGCATGGTACTGTCCTCTGGTCATCATTCTCTTGCTCTAAACTTATTCAGTTTGTATTTAATACTGTCTTAATACTACAATTCTATTAGTAAATATTATATTTGTATGGCCTTTTTTTCAGACCGACTCTGGTGGTCCTCTGGTGTGTCAGAAGGCTGGAACTTGGACTCTTGTTGGCATTGTGTCCTGGGGAAGCAGCACCTGCTCACTCACCATGCCTGAAGTGTATGCCCGTGTCACCAAGCTCCGTGACTGGATGGACCAGGTCATTGCTGCTAACTAAAGTCACATTGTGCATTGTGGTTTTGAGTATCGTGTTTTTGTGTATATCCTGATTAATACATTATACTTTAATAAAATACACTAAACAATGCATTTTTAGGTTGTGTATCAAATAATATCAATTGAAGCTGCATATTGCTTCACTTTACATAATGCTTCACTTTGATAATAAAAAAATGATCAATAATGAATGTTCCATTTAAGTGACCTAAAACTAATAGCTAACTAAAAGCTAATTCATGTGCTTTGACACAGAGTATTGAACCAGAACCTGATAAATTACATAAGAATCACCTCACAAGAATGAATTCTCAGTAAGATCCCCCTCTTATCGTATCAAAGCAAAATTTTCAGAATCAAATATTTGAGGTGTAGGCTATTATTTCAGCTCCTATGTAATATGAATAATGGTAACTGTGCTCACACACTCAAACTAGCTCACATACACTCACAATGTATCGCAGAGTATTGCAGTGGTACTAATTTATGTGGTTCTCCAATCAAAACCATGAGAATAATGTAGCAATGAAGTTTGAGATAGTCACGCTTTAATTGATGATACCAAGACATCAATGCCATACTTCAGATTTTAGTAATTATGTTTGGAAGCAGGATTAGGACAGATTATTATGAGCTAGAACTGGAAATGTGTATACAATGTCAGTTAATGCATTAATAATGGTTAATAATACATTAATAACACACTAACAACACATGAAGATGATCGAAGTTTGTAAAAATTTGCCAACTGTGATGCTTTGAAAGATCTTCAGATCTTAAGATGTATGGATAAATAAATGAACAGCAGACAAACAAAAGCAAAGCTCCAGCCGAAAGATCCAGTACCACTCAAAACAATGAAAATTGATGAAAATTGGAAACTGGGTTCACCCTGTAGAAAATACACATTCAACAAAATACTACACAATGCCTTCATATCACATCTAAATAAGCATATCTGATTCTTGTTTAGCTCTGCAAAACATAATATGGATGCAATGGATTCCAACTGTAGAGCCAAATGAACTTGAAGTTTCTTTCAAGCTGCAACATGTCAAGGGCATTTATTTGTTCATCAAGTTGGAATATGCTATGTTACAGCAAATGTCTCACATCTTGTCTCCCAGTAGGTCTCCCCAGCCCAGGGAGCTGACTCAGTTACCTCCCCAAGCTCTGCTCAGCAGTGCTCCAGCACTCTGGAGCACTCTGTCTAGTCCTATCTTACAAATATGACAGAACACCATCTGGATGCAAGGGCTTTCTTTGTGGCTGCAGCCTCTGATAGCTTCAAGGTTGTTGCTCCTTTGTTGAGTTGCTGTGGCACATTTGGCCACAGCTGTTTAGCACAAGAAGTAAAGATAAGTTCAAAACACAGTTTCAGCCTCTCCTCAGGGAAAAGAGGGAGGTGAGGAGCTGCATTTAAAACAGGGCTCCCACTCAGCAGCTGACTTTGCTGTTTTGGTCAGAACCATTGTTGCCTCAAGTGAATGAGAAAAAAAACAGCACTGTGTAGTAGCTTTGGGGTATATGAGAAACTTTGAAAAGAACTTGTCACTTGACAATTAGTGACGTGGCAAACAATACAATTAGCATTGCTGTCAGACTGGATAACCTCCTTATGCTGACTGCAGTTACAAAGTGATTAAAAAGCAAAGTTGCATGCAACACATTCTGTTACTCCACTAGTTGGCAAAATTAGTAGTTCAATTTTTTTCAATACCTTGTATTGTTTTATCATTTACTACATGTTTGAGTTTAAATCTCCTCTGTGTATGTTAAGCAATTAAAAGTGGATGCTTTAATAGCCATTATGGTTGCACTTGAAGTTTCGCTCATCCTGTGCTAGCAGCACTGCAAGTACATCAAGGATTGCATCTCAGTCTCTCTGTAATATTTTTCATTCTTTGATTCCCAAAGGAATTTCTGCTCTGGGTAAAATTAGGGGGTGTCAAGAGAGGAGAATTGGAATAACCTAGCTAAATAGATCACAACAACAGCAGTCTAATATAGAAGGATAAACACTGACACTAGCAGCTGCTGAAACAGCTGTTTTTGTTAGCTGGCTTGTTAACACAGCTGTTTACAGGAACGTTTGTTTTGAGAAACTTGTTTGTTTGTTGTCATCGCTCAGGTAACTGACAAAATGGAACACAGCCATTTTTTGGCCATTACACCAGTGAAATTAACCCCTTGGAATGATGTTATTTGATAATCACATGATGCATTATTGGCATTCTGATTGGTTGTTTCATGAAACTTGTTGCAACTGTTTCAAGTGAGTTGCTTTGTACTATGCAACACAAGTGAAATTTTGTTTCAGGTAGGTTTCAGGCAACGAAAGTTGTATGTAAGTTTCACAGAAAAAGGTCAGCCTCGTTGACATGTCAAACCCTTTCTGACTACAAGCAACGACCAGCCTGATTCCCTGTTTGAGCCTCTGCAAGTAGACTACACCTGCCCATACCAGATGCTAAGAGATGCACATGCCGCAGCTAGGCATTACTGTGGTGTATAGGAAATGAATTCCAGATCCACCCACTGTTAGAGAGCTTCACTGATAGGGGTGTCATCCTTGGTCCCCTCAATGCCAGTGCAACGATCTTAAACTCCTATGTGCTTCTACCTCAATTAAAATCCTTTGGTTTCTCACCAGCCTAACGATCCCAATAACTATCAAGATGTAATAGATGTTTGCAGTCAAAATGAGGCCATTCGTCTCCGTCCTCCCCACTTGGGAGATTGCGCCATTGACTGCTCATGGCATCCACTTTAACTAGGTCCCCTCTCTCTGCAGCAGAGATGTACATTCAATAAGTGACTGGGTTTTATCTAGCCATCAAATTCACCAGCCCCAAACAACTTGAATCAAAAAAGGTTTGAGTCCTTGCAAAGATCTTATTTCTATCACCCCACTGTCTTCTCCCCTTTTGTTCCACTCAACAGCACAACAGCACAACTTTAGGACATTATGAATATTTAGTGATGTCTTACAGATTGGGAAATGCCCCTTCCATGTTCTATGTTGCTATTAATTTAAATGGTAGAAATGGACTATACAGGTATCAGTTAACATATCGTCACTGTCCAATGAAAAACAAGCATCTCCAAAATATCAACTTTACAGGAGAAGACAAAATACTCTTACCTTTCAATGTAAGTCAATGTAAAAAAGATTTGGTCCAAGTGATTTTAAAGCCTTTCTTTTGGTCCATTCATTATGAACTTTTTACACAATGTAAAGGCCAGCTGTTGTGTTGAAATGATGTAGAAAACTAAAAATCAACAAAAATGGAGATACATGGTTTCCATTGGACAGCGACGATATATGGACTGAAGACTGTGAATATAATGTTTACTGTCTATAAAGATTGACACCTATGAGTTAATGTAAGCTAACATTCAAGGAGCTAATAGGCAGTAGGGCTGTCTCTAAAAATTACATTCTTAATTGAGTAATCTACCTAATTCCACTGTTCAGTCAAGTACATTTTTTTAAAGGCTAAACCAAAAAATAGACTCAACTAAACAATGACAAACTCTACACAGCCTTTCAAGGATTTTAAATCACTTTGTTGGAAACAGATAGACTAGAATACCTTACATAATCGTCTAATCATGAAATGCATGTAGTTTAATGTAAACCTTGTACCCTTCACAGTTCACAGAAATGTGTAAATGTGCACTAGCGGAGCAGACTGTCTCAATGTCATGTTTTGCTGTAGTTTTGTTTGCATAGATAATTTTTAATAATGAAGCAAAGTCAACTTAGAAATATTTCCATGTTGTGATTGTCTTTTTTATGAGTAAAGTCACTCTTGATAAATCTGCTAAATGCTGTAAATGTAAATCTCAGTCTTATTTTGTAATAAGCGTGTGATTTTAATGGGGCTAATGGTGGCAGAAAACTGCTGTGACCTGTGGTTACCACAGACTGACACTAGGCGGCATGATTAGAAATGAAAACGTCAAATCTACCTGTGGTTTATTTCCCACACGAAAAGTCTTTGATTTTAGCTTTTAATCGTTTTTACAGCACATTAACATACCTGTATTAGTCAGCAGATACTCAATACAATGAGAACAGACATATAGCACAAGTGGGAATGAAGAGAAAAGCATCTAATGAGCATGACTTACATTTTAACCTTAACTTTTACTATAGGATTTATTTTGAATTCCAGCATAATATAATTTTCAATACTTGAAATTCCTTTATGAATAAATTAAACAGTGGTGTTTAACATTTTTCAACTAACTGTCCCTTAACCCCTTAAAATCCCTGGCTAATTACATACTAAGGCTTATTATTCAGTAACTACAAGGACTTCAGTGGAAACTGGTCGAGCTATTCTATTTTTACAGAAGTGGCTCAGGCATTAAAGGGTTAATCTCAAGAAATGTGGCAAAATTAGAAGCTTATTTCCCTACTTAAAATGTCTTATTTTTGGTTGTGTCATTGTTAAAGGTTGCAATTAAATAAGAAGACCAAACATGAACTCACACACTGAGCTATGCAAATGAAATGGTAGGATAAAAGGGTCAGACTTTTGTGACTTCCTGAAGCGGGAATCATGACTGTCCTCTGGGTGCTGTCCTGCTGTGCCTTCATTAGCACAGCCTACAGTAAGAAAATGACATTTCCCTTGTGCTTTTGTTGTGGTAATGAGCAAACTTAATAGAGGCTGAAAAAGCATCAGTTAATGTAGAGCCTCATGTCTGAAACCATTTTCTGGCAGAAACAGTGAATAAATCTCTGAAGTCAAAATGTGTTAACTGATCGGAATATACTTTTTGTTCTCAGGCTGTGAGGTTTCTGTTATCCCTCCAGTGAGCACTAATTACACTATTGTGGTTGGTAAGGAGGCAGTGCCCCATTCCTGACCTTGACCGGTGTCTCTCCAGGCGTAGGAATCTTTGTCATTACACAAAAAATAAATAAAAAATAAAAGTGAATAACACTTCCAAAGTTCAGCTGGTTGCATTTTCTGCTTCTCATGATCAGAGTAATACAAAAGACATTCTGTGATGTCGAGGTCTGGACTCTGGATGGTCAGTCCATTGTTCTGAGAACTCCAGCAGTTTCTTTGTTTGAG